CGCGTTTCTGTCCACCTCATCGGGTTCACTGATTATGGGGGGGAAAAAAAGTAGCCCTATCCTGCATTAGGCCATCTTTGATTGGACGTAGTTTTTTTTTTTTATAGTTTTTATTTGTGCCAGGCGACATTGAGTGTCTCTCCCAACTTTTTATTTTGTAAATTGCAAGTGCTGACACAGTGTATTTTTGCCACCAAAGTCATATTTGGGACTACATGACAGGGCTGTGTGGCCATCTCACTGTCAAATGTCTATTTTAATGCGCTGGCTTGGTTGAACACAAGCACCTGCGGACCTTAACCAAGGTTCCCCCAAAGTTGCATGCATTAGTGAATGAATCTCGGCCAGTGGAATTGGCATTCCCATTGGGTCTGACACTCTCACCCAGGGTAGGGGGTCGACCCTTTGATGGTAAGATTTGAACTTGGGTCTACCGATCATGAGTATGATGCGACAACCACTATGTGACCGGTTCATTGGACGTGCCGTTAAAACCTGCTCCCAATCAGATCAATGCATTTTATTATGGGTCAGTATGAACACTGTACTGCAGTTTTAGAGAAAGTTAAAGTAAATCAAGCAAGACAAGATTGCATCGGATTAGATATTTATTATCAGAAAGATGATCAGAAATAAAGACATTAATATGCAACTCTACTGAATTATATACAAAATAGTCGCATATTACTTGCATGTAGTCGTGAACAGTAAAGATGAAAACAAACACTACAAGTTTGTTTATTTGTACATGAGAGGGCTTTTCAGCATCTTATTTCATACTGTAGAATACTTTATTTTCACTTGAATTTTATTTTCGCTGAAGGGATGATTCCGTGAAAATAAAATCCAGCGAATATACTTTTTTTCCTATATTTCACATTAAACTCGTCAAAAATTAGTGAAAATAAATTCCATACAAAACGTCCAAAAAGCCTTTTCAGCGAAAATTAATTCTAGCGAAGATAAAGTACACAACCGCCAAATCTTAAAAAGCACATTTGTTTTAAAAAAATTGTGAACTGGTGCGACTGACATGTACTTCTCTTAGAGGTACTGTAAATTACTTTATTTTCGTTGGAATTAATTTTCGCTGAAAACTTGTTGGGTGTTTTGTATGGAATTTATTTTCACAGATTTTTCATGAGGAGAATGTGAAATATAGGAAAAAAAGTATATTCGCTAGATTTCATTTTCACTCAAAAATTGCGGAAATAAAGTATTCTATAGTGCACCAGGATGATGTTATATTTATTCTTATTATTCTATTAGGATTGCATGGACCTGGATTAGTGTTAGGTTGATGTACTTTAAGATCTACCATAATAAATGTGCTTTTAAGACAAATATGATGGTAGATATTCAGATACACTATTGTTGACTGGGAATTGATTATGATTGCGAATATGATTATGAATATCAACTAAAGTTGATATTTTGGGTCAACATTAACAAAATGCAGCCTGACACAGCATGTTTATAAGCAGGTCAACTTGTACATGAGAGAGAAGCTTGCAATCTACTGTGACAATACATAAACCAGGACACATGATACATAGAAATTTAGACACTGCATCAGCAAACTTTCTCCTTCAGATGTGAACGACTTGTCACCTGCACATTGTTTGTGCTTAGTATATTATAATCAATTTAATGATGAAATAATTATAACTTAACTAAATATCGGTACTCTTGTTTTTGTACTATAGGAATGATTTATGATCAAATACTGTAAAGAGATTTAATTTAACTATTTTGACATTTTGAGCATATTCACTGAGTTTTAAATCTCACAACTTTACCAGGGAAACAATGAGTTCTATTTTACATGTTCACAGGAATATTTATCATTGAAAATGGTGAAATTAAAACCCAGTGAAAATTTAATGCATTTACAGTACTGAACATATTTATAAAGTCTAATTAATACATTCTAATAAAATAAATAGCTATTGATTCGAAAACTACATTGGCTCAAATGAGTCATGATTCAACAGCGCAAACAAGATCTATAAAATGCAGCGAAAGCAGCTTTTCCCTTAATCAAAAGTTATGTTTATTGTCTTAAAATTTAAAAATTGTGGTACTTTGATTAACAGGTGATCAACCCTTCAAGCTGATTGGCTGCTCCAAAGTCATGTGACTCTCCTAAGCCAATGAGTAAGCAGCTTCATATGCACTAAGCACTGTGTAAATGTCCTTTCATAAGTAACAGGGTTGAGGTCTAAGGTGGAGGTAAGACAGGATTCTTTGGTGGTGTCTGTGATGGCCTCTTTTTATCCGGACCCTGTGCTTGTGGTAAAATGCCATGGAGAGCATAAACTTCTTTTAAGATCATTAAAACTGTATCTTCTGATTCCCTGAAAAGTAGCAATAATATTGATTGGGCGAGTTCATTTCACTTTTATCATGTAAGAGCCATTGCCGGCTAACTTGTGTTCCAGGTCTTACTTTCACCTCCCCGTTGATATGTTCCATCAATTGGAAGGTATGAATGCAAATAATCAGGAATGGTCGCCGCATGATAAAAGTGAACTGAATGTAACACTCGCTATTATATGATAGAATCTTATCAAATAGATTCTCAGCCAGTTTTAACACTGATAGAACACCAATTGCAGTTGAATATGGAAAACATAGTAAAACCCCTGAAGCCTTGCTCATGCAGAAGTTGTAAATATCACATGACACAGAGGATTAAGGTGCACAATAGAATAACGATAGAAATTGTTATGATGTATTGTTGTTATGTAATGATAACAGATTCTCATTGTTTTGATATACAACAATAGCAATTTTCCATTGTTATCGTATACAACAATAGCAATTTCCCATTGTTATCATATACAAAAATGGCAATTTCTCATTGTTATGTACAACAATAGCAATTTTCCATTGTTATCATATACAACGATAGCAATTTCCCATTGTTATCATATACAAAAATGGCAATTTCCCATTGTTATCATATACAAAAATGGCAATTTCTCATTGTTATTTACAACAAAAGCAATTTCTTATTGTTATCATGTACAACAAAAGCAATTTTTTTATTGTTATATACAACAAAAGCAATTTCTTATTGTTATCATATACAACAATAGAATTTTCTCATTGTTATTACTTACCAATAGCATGCATGGCTTCCTAGTGCAAATAAATATTCATTAAAACTTTCTATAGGTTTTTCTTGTAAAACATAGTCGATGCGATTGCCTTTATTGAGAATACCAAGTTTTAACTCATCAGCAAGAAATTCAAAAGATTCTGTAAGATATAAATAAATAAAAAACAAAACAAATTGTTTTTCAGGTATGAATTGCTTCAATATTGATAATCGATTTTGAGAATTGAAGGTATTGTCACAAAATGAATAAATCTGATAGCGGTCAACAAGTACATATCAAATATCAAAGCAATTTGAATATTCTTTCATCAAAAAAGATCAAAAAAATTAGAGAAAAAATAGAGAATTGAGGTAATTATCACAAATAACAAGTCTGAAAGAGAACCTCGCGAACTGCCTCGTAATTATGAAAGCAAAACAAGGCTCTCAATTTTTAAGGGAAATCAACAAAGTCAAGTTGATGGTGATGTCGAACATGTTAACAGCTGACCAGATTTTTGCAGATGCATAATTAATTCGGTAAGAGAATATCAAGAACACCATTCTTTACCCGATGAGCTGATGTCTGATTGTTTCTCAGCTTGTTCCTGTTCTAACTGATCGGCTATTTTCTCCATTTCTTCTTCGGTAGGTTCCGCAGTTGTAGCTCGGGAGATTGCAAACTCGTGGATAGTTTTCCATGTTTTTTTCATGGAATCAATTAAACCTCGTTTCAAATCCGCACCAAATGTACTCAAGGCTTTTCTT